TGGGGTCGGATTCCAAAGCAAATTACATGACCGGGCACGGGGGTGAATGGGTAATCGAGTTTTCGTTCCGAATTTCGGGTTTGGACCAAGCGGGCTTGGGAGTTGACTTTTTCAATAATGACTTAAATTGAATCCTTCGCAATCGTGGGTGAATCCTAAGGCTTATTTTGAATCGTTTGGTTGGTAAATTGCTAGATATTGTTGGTTCGAAGGCTAGTTTGAAAGGCAAAGCCATGGTTGAGCTTTGAGTGGTCTTTAGAGCGAGTAAGTGTTGAATCTAACCTTGACTTGAGGGAATTAGGAACCCTAGGAATATGTGCTATGTGAATTCCATGTGAGCGGCGTATATGCGAGATGACGAGTGCTTATACACCGCCGAGTTACCTGTTTTTCCCTAACTTCCTACTTTTACTTAATTATTTCCTTCCCTGTCTTAACTGTTATATGCTCTAAATGCTTTCCCTGCTTAACTGCTACTTGTTAATCAATATCTTCTCCTGTTAATCATGTTAGCTCTTTCCATAGTTTCACGAATCCCTGGTATTTGCTTAACTTAACTTGTTTGTACCTTCTAATTGTAAATTGCTGGATTGGTCTCGCTACATAGTATTACTTATGTAGATTCTTATATTGTTCAAAGTTTCCTTTTCGGTTCGGTTTGACATTTATTGATCGTAAAGGTTTGGTGGTCTGAACTGTTTATTTGACTGTGTACATTGAGTGTTTGGTACTGATATGGTGAGATCAAGCTCCACGCCGCAGCAGGTATAACAAGGGTGGATTGGTATGGTGGAATAAGGGTGAATTCATACTGTACGGTGGGATCGGGTTGCACGCCGCAATAGGTGGAATAAGGGTGGATTGATATGGTGAAATAAGGGTGAATTATGATACTTGTATTGATATATAGTGGGATCGGATTGCGCGCGATATATATATATATATATATATATATATATATATATATATATATATATATATATATATATATATATATATATTTACTGTTGTTGATATTGTTACGGTGAAATAAGGGAGGATTTGTGTTGTTTGGCGGGATCGGGTTGCGCGCCGCAATAACTTTTGTGTTTCCATTTCTTGAGTTGTGTTGGTTTTCGGTATTTTCATTTGAACTGCTAAGGATTGGTAATTCTGGACAATACTGGTTTATTCCCAGAGATGGTAATTATCATTTTCAGTTGACTGCTTCTTCCTGTTCAGTATTTCTATTTTCTGTCATTATTGTATATATTGCGCACAGGTTGTAGTGTAAGTGACCCGCCTTAGCCTCGTCACTAATTCGTCGAGGTTAGGCTCGACATTACCAGTACATGAGGTCGGTTGTACTGATACTACACTCTGCACTTCTGTGCAGATGTTGGAGTCGGTCCCAGCGGCGGCTACTAGAGAGCTGGGATTAGATAGCCTACGGGGACTTGAGGTGCAACTGCTCAGCACCCGCAGCTCCTGAAGTCACCTTCTTTATTTCTATTTAGCTGTGTATTTTCATTCAGACAGCTTTGTAATTATTTCAGACCCTTGTATGTATTACTCTAGTAGCTTGTGCACTTGTGACACTAGGTTCAGGAATTTTGTAGTAGGTGTTTGACAATTTTAGCTTCCGCATTCGTATTTCAGTTATTTCAGTATTTCTCGTTATTCAATTCAACTGTTAAAAATGGATAATGTGTTCTAACATTGGCTTTGCCTAGCAAGTGAAATGTTAGGCGCCATTACGATCCCGACAATAAAAATTCTGTGTCGTGACAAAAGAGTTGGATACTCTTAATGGTGTGAGGCCTTTTGGAGAAAACCGTGTAGGCTTGGCCGAAAGCGGACAATATCACACCATATTAAGAGTATCTTTGGGCCGTTTTAACCCAACAAATGTTATTAGAGCCAATGGTTTGACGTGACTATGGATATGGTTGAGTGTGGCGTGGCGCCCGACTTATTACCTTTGTCCGTCTACGGGGTTTATGACCTTTACCCATAGCTTTGAAGACACACACAACCTTTGGGCTTCGGTGACCGTGAATCATGNTACATCTAAAATAACTCACCTACTGAACTAACCCTCAATTCCCATAAACTCAATGAGAAAATACATTATTAAATACTACATCAAAATCAAGAACCATGACATTCTAGCTATTTACAAAAGGTTATACTTATAAGGAGTTGAATACTCTAAATGGTGTGAGGCCTTTTGGAGAAAACCGTGCGAACTTGGCTCAAAGCGGACAATGTCACACCTTGTTAAGAGTATCTTTGGACCGTTTTAGCCCAATAAAAAATAGAACAACTCTCCATGTTAGAAGCGATTCACAATTGCAAACAAATTATGTTGGTAGGTAGTATATTTGGCTGTGAATTTTCCTCCAATCAGCTCAATAGAAAGGAAATAAGAAAAATAATCAGTACTTGTATTATATTTTAACTTGGTAGAAGTTTACTAAGATGATGGTAAAATATGTGATATCAAATTCAATTTTTTTTTTTGTCGTGTTCTTTTATGTTGGTATTAATTATTTGACTTTTTGAAAAGGCTCAATTACATAGAGAAGTTATATATATTCTCATGGGGATAGTAAAAAATTGGATAACGGTGTACATATTACGAGTAGCTTTTAACATTATTTTTGGGTCGAAACATTTGAGCAGCATACTGTTTTCTTTCTAACTTCGCCGGTATGAGCTTAGTCACTTTGTCAGTTTCAAGTCCGGATAAAGGAGGATGGTTATAATAAGCTGGTAATCGGAGCGGACCTAAAGCATAGAATTTTCCGGAACTCAGTAACTTTTGTGTAAACTCTTTTATATTAAGAAATTCATTAAATATTTGTAAATATCTAACTGTGAACTCAGTATTATTGCATATTAATCTAAAATTACAGTAGGAACCCATAAATCTCAAATCCTGGATGGTTGGATCTGGCTCTGCTGGTAACCAGCGTAAAATTTATCAATTCATAACGAATAATAAATTAATAATATAAGTTGAGTTAACCGAAAGAAATGAGAATTCATATTGCCGATCCCAACTTGTTTGATACCGAAGTATAATTATTGTTGTTTTTGTTATTCTCAAGTCTTTCGGGCAAAGATAGTGGTTTATAGTTATTGAATAATTGGAAACACTTTTTTATATTCTGAGGCGAAGTTGTAATTTCAACTTTATAGATTTTAAATTTTGGAGTGAAAAATTTAAGTGCTAACGATTATTCTCTAAATTCAATATGTATGCATTAATTATATATATATATATATATATATATATATATATACTGTTTGAACAAAAATTATTGAATTAGGTCGAACCTGCATTTGAACTTCTACCTCAACCTTAATTATATTATTCTTTATGCATTACAGTACTTCTGGTGGTAGTTCCCATTAGTGGTTCATAGTTGCCCATCTTTCATGAGAGTCACCAATAACCAACAAAAAACATTAAAAAGCAAATCTTTTAAATCATCTTTCCCATGATATTGATATCATATCATATTTTGGCTCCAAGTAGTAACTAATTATAAAAGTAAACATTGTATCGAGATGGTTTAAAAAGAAAATACTAGAACATTTTTCTTTTTGAAAACAAGAGAAATAAGATATTTTTAAGAAACAAGAACAAATAATTAGTGGCCCACATCTCAACGTATAGCCACGTAAAAATAAAGGGTGTTGGTGAGGGGTTTTGTATGGGAGGAAGATAAAGAAATAGGAGAACAAAAGCTGTTAGAATGTGTGTAGGAAAAGTTAGATGAGGAAGAAAAGCATGTGAGTTTATTCTACCAAAGAAATAAAAACATATAAAAATTATAAAATTTAGAACTTTAATTCTATGTACTAACAATTAAAAAAAAACACACACAATATGTATATATCATTTAAAAGGTAATTACATGTATCTTTATTTAACATCATTAATTTGTAATCTCATTCGTGAGCCGATGGTCTATCGGAAACATCATCTCTATCTTCAAGGTGGGTGTAAGGTCTGCGCACACACTATCTTCCTTATATCCTACTTGTGGATTACGCTGGGTTTGCTGTTATTGTTATTGTTTATATTAATTTGTGACGTCAAATAATAATAAATGACACGTTATAACAAATACATTTACAATTGATACTGTAATTTTTTTTTATTAAATTGTCAATATATATAACTTAAATTTTAAAAAATATAATATCACCAATATGTTTGAACCTACCATCGGTGGTTCCTAGCATCACGAGGGCAGCTAACTCTACTTGTCATCTCTCTCCTCTTCCTCTAGTTTATTTCAATACTTTTTCTTTTTTTTTTTGTAATTATCTAAAGCTTCTCTTTACTACCTAAAAAAGGGGTAGGTAGGGATTATTCTTGACCATTCAAACAAGTAAAACTATAGTTAGTTGGAAACTTAACGATATCTCTAGTAGCTATTGCTCAGAGTGAACCATGATTAATTGGATCACTAAATTTCAAATATTGAATACTTAAAGAAGATAAAATAAATAAACGACTCCAAACTCCTATTACAGTCAAACCTTTTTATAATAGCCTCTTTAAACAACATATATTATAACATAGCATGAAAATTGATTCCAAAAGAAACTTGACTTTTATAGTGAATGATTGTTATACAACGATGCTATTATAGAGAGGTCTGACTGTGCTTCCGTTTTGAAAAAAATAACACTATTTTATTATAAAAAAGTTATTCTCTTTGTTCCAATTTATATGACGTTTATTATTTCCTACTATTATATCTTTTATCATTAAGGAGTTGGTGGCTAATAAGGTTTACACCCTCAACATCTTCAAACATTTTAGAGTACTATTTTCTTGGCCCTTTTACTATGTACAATATTATGTGCATACGATCAATTTACCCGTGAGTCAAAGTTCTTCCACGTACAGTTCCAGGTGTTTAGGTTGCAGACAAACACTAAAAGCACAATACTTCACACACTTCAACCTTTAATTTAATGACCTGACCCCTAGCTTTCTATATAAATAATGCCCCTCAAGAAGCTTATACACAACAAGTTCTATAGGGTGTATTTCGTAGGCATTTTGCCAGGAAGTTGGTGGTCTTATCATGAATTAAGGCGGAGTGGCTGGTGAGGTCGGGACAAGAGAGGAACTAATGCTCTTACTATAGCACCAACCAAAAGTAGATTCTCGACATCTCAGAACAGAATGGGTTCCCTTGCTTTCCGGCCCTTCCTCTTTGAGCCCGACTCTTTTCATTTGGAACAAGGTACTTTTCTTCTTATTCTTCTTCTTCTTCATCATCATATTGGTTAGCAGCACTGACGAAGCAAGAAATTTCTTCAAGAGTGTTCAAATTTGAAAAAACTAAAAAAAATCTCGACAAGGGTGTTCTATATATGTTATATACCTCTAAAACCTAATATTTTACCGATATATATATATATATACAGTGTAATTTCCGGCGACAAAAGTGTAGCTTCGCCCCTAGTTAGCAGGATAAGGAAAAAGGAAGAAAGATTGATCTGTAGTGCTAGTTTATTTCTTCTTTACTAATTATAATTTTTATTTGAATGCTTTTTGAAGAAAAGGTACAAATCATAGGATTGATGATCTCCTCGTACCCTGTGTGAATATTGAGGGAAACTTCGTGCACCGGACTGCCGATTGGGTGAGTGATTTCCATGCTATGCTTGACAAGTGAGCAGTCCTTTTGCTGTTAACCTTTGTCTCATTGTCTGTTCGACCTTGAAAATATAAGTTCATCATCTACTCACAAACCCTAGCTACTTGGTTACTATTAGTAACAAACACGTCTCAACCACTTACCACGATAGTGAAGGAGGTGGGGGTGCATCTTTATAGCTTTCTTGATTTTGCATTTAAAGTTGTACTTAAAAAGTTTAAATCTATGAATATAGGCATTGAAATTCGAAACACAGGGGTAAATAGTGCTACCTACAAACAAATATATATATATAACCAAACATATAAAGAGGTACTCCGATCCCTTCTGTTTTATGTAACGTAAGGTCAAACTAATTAATTTTCGATGTAAATTCAAACATAGAATTTTAATATTTGTTGAAAGGATGTATCCCCTTAGCAGAGGCCGCTCAATAGTATTGGGGGACTAAAGCCAAGACGTAATAAGAGACCTTAAACTTGTTAAATAATTTTAGATATTTTTGTTGAAGTTTATTTTTTATTTTATTTTTTGAGATGCACTTTCATCTTGACGATGTAACCAAACCTCTTTAATCTTTGTTGTAACATTACTAACCTTTGATAAGATTTTATTAAGTTTAATTTTAAATTTTTCTTTTCACATGACCGTCAACATAACTTACTATATATATAACACTGCCTCCCAAAGTAACAATCATGTAGAAATTTTTATTTACAAAGATGATAAATATTTTACGATCTAATTAGCTTGAAGCGTACCTATAGAGATCTTGAAAGCAGATATCTTACAAAGTTAGAGTTGTAAATAAAATTTATTCATATGAGAGTAAGAAGAATTAGAAAGTAACTACAGATTAAATTGCCTTTCACTTTTATTTGAATTTTCTCAACCAACTTCGAAAAAAGACAACATAAAATATAAACCAATGTTATTAACGATTGGTGACAAGGTAGCAAAACATGGTTGAAAATTTTTCTATCATTATTTAGTAATAAATACAATTAATATTTAAATTACAGAGTAGCTTTTGGACCTCTAATTTTGTGAGGCCTAATGGTCGCTTTAGTGGCATGGGGGTTAAGCCGCCTCTGCCCTTAGCTTAGCGGTGTTGTAATATTTTGAGAAAGGGGTAGGAGTGAGCCATTTCTTCCTTTATGCTAGTTGAATTCATAAACTAATTCATTTATCCTAACGATAATTAACAACTATACTGTCCCTGATCGAAGAGATAATTAGCACAAAAATGGCACAAGTAATAGAAAATTCGTTGTATTTTTTAAAGAACTTTTTCTTGAAAGGATAGGAAAGAGGTAATTAAGCCACAAGGTCTTAGAAGTACATATAAAAATGGAAACATAACATAGAAAAGGATGTATATTAAAATACTTACCCTTTTTGTTGGGTTTTCCCTTTCGTTTATGTCTTCTGATGAGTTTGGTATAAGGGCAGCCCGGTGCACTAAGCTCCTGCTATGCGCGGGGTTCAGGGAAGGGCCGCACCACAAGGGTCTATAGTACGCAGTATTACCCTGCATTTGTGCAAGAGGTTGTTTTTGTAGCTTGAGCCGGTAACCTCTCGGTATAAGGAAAATCATCAAATGTCATGCTTGTGGTCCAAGTTTGTAAGCTTATGAACTTTTGAACCACCTCCCTCCTACCAAGAGATTACCAGCTCAAACTATAGAAACAACATCTCGCGCATGAATACAAGGTAAGATTGTGTACATAAAATTCAACATGAACATCCTTCCCAGGACCTCGCCATAAAGAGAATTTATATTAGTACATCGGATTACCTTTTTTTTTCCTTCCCTCTTATTGGGTTTAATAAAAGGCTCTAATTCACTCTATCGGTTAATAATTCAAAGAGTAAAATCCATAGCCAAATTCTTGTCTCTTAGTGCACATGCAACTTTTACAATTTCTGACCAAAAGGTAAATGCAACGTCTAAAATTTGCTATTGTACCTTCCATTAGTAGAAAGAAAGTTAGTTAGATTATTAAAATTTATTCTAAATCATGTTTACATAACTAATAGCATCAGGAATATAATTACTCTCTGTCGACTAATTATGATAAGGTCATTTCATAAAAATAAGACTGATGAAGATACGAAACCACCTGTTAAATCATCACACACTTTGAAAATGAAGAATCTGAAAACTAGAAACCCACATACTTGGCGTATCACATATTTCTTGGGTACACTAGTATCTATTTTTCAAATGCACTAAAGAGACATAATTTAAATTAATGTATTTAACTTATATACAGCGTAAAAGTTCTGATACTATCAGTATATTTTAACATGTTTTAGAAGTTAATCTTTCTTATTTTAAAAGTTATTCATCTCACTTTTTATTGACGATTACCTGTAGTTATCATTTAAGTAACCCGATAGTGTAAATAGTCACTTTAAACATAAAAGAGGAAGAAGATTAAGGAGAAAATAGTCAAATACTCCTAGCTAGCTAGTTGATGCTTTCTTTACTAAGGTCGACCAGACATTGAATCTAAGGTGAAAACAAGTAAAGAGACTGCTGATTTGTCAAGGTTTGCACTGAAATCAACACCAATGCTTGAAGCTCAGTGCCAGAAACTTATGGTAGTTAGACTTTGACATGGACTCCATCAACAAGAAGAAGTTTTTTGTCTGTATCTTTCTCTTTATCATTATATTTTTAACTTGTTATAGTAGGTATTTGTCGTATTTTTGAGTTGCTAATTTATTTTTTTATGGATGATTATTGTAGTTATATATTCAGTTTTCTAGACAATCTTTATGTACGTGGGACGACATACAAATATCAAAATTTCATTGACAATAATGTTTAGTTTTCAAAAGTTCAATAATAACGTTTTAGCTTCTTCTGGAGCACTATGGTTAGAGAACTTGTAATCTTTCTTTTTTCATCCGCAATCAAACTAATTCAGATTCATGTCCAAACTCTATTAAAGGCGACTCCATTTTTAGGTCTTGCATCTGAGACTTTTTATTAAGAATAAAAAGGTACTTACCACCCATCACAATCTTTATTAACAATGAGTGATATTTGAGTAATCTTTAGAATTTCTGTCATTTTGTACTCAATTATAATTTTCAATCTTTTGTTGTTACTGAGTCTTTTGTTAATTATATTGAAAAAACAATATATGTACACTTCAGTTCAAGAATAATTAACTCCCTATAAAAAATGTACAAGCAAATTATACAAAGAGATAACAAGTTAGTATATTTTAGTTCGCCCTATATATTAATTTTTATTTTGAATATTTATCTTCCTTTCTCTAGTGTAAAAGAAAAAACGTTAGCGCCTTTAATTTTGTAATGTAGTTGATTGAAAACAGTGCTGTCTACATACGTAAATATATTAGCTTTATCCATACATTTATAGCACATGTATTGAGGGTGTGATCGATGATTTACTCACAAGCCAATAATAATACTTTTATTATAAAATCTTTAGTAAATGTGGATGTCCATTACTTCCATTACTTTCACCCATGATATAAATAACCTCCCACTACTCATCACTATTATGATTATAACTCTCACACCACCATAACCCCTTCCCATGATCTTCCCCCATGATCTCAATTGTTGATGTCATGTTTAAGACAATCATTTTGTAACCTTCTATGTAATAGTATAAATAGAGGCATGAAATTGATATGGGATACACTGGAACACTTGACGAAATAAGAAAGTTATCTCTTCTTCTCTTATTGTGATGACCCAAATGGTCATCTTTTGTTTTAGAATCCGATTCCGTGTCCGGGCGCGTATCCGGAAAGCTTTTATATGAAAAATTTAAGAAAAGATGATTTTTGGCTTAAAAAGATGATTTTTGTTGACTTTGGTCAATGTTTTGGGTAAACAGACCCGGACCCGTGTTCTGACGGTCCCGGAGGTATTGCGGCCAAACGCACATGCAAGTATACGCGGTCATCAAGTAATAAAGTGACTAAAAGTTGGATGTCGAACCCACGAGGACTTGTGATTAACTATTAACTAAATTAGACTATCCTAATTATCTAAACAAGAATTAAACCTAGAAGTATTTGGTTCTAAACTAATTAAATAAAGAATATAAATAATGAACTTTTAATAGAGAGAAAGAGCAGATTTTTATGATATCAATGTAATGAAAACGGTCTAGGGTTATGGACTATCTAACATTCCTATTGTATTCTTCAATTGAATTGACTAACTAATTTATCGAGTTTATTGGTTGACAGTGTTAATATTGCTCATAAGAATCTGTCGAGTTCTTACTCGCCTATTCAAGCTAACCTAACGCCTATATGTCTATGGAGTTAGAATCAACAAGAACGCATTTATAATTCCTGTATTTCGACCAAACAAGGCAATTAGGTATATGGCTATCCTAATTGCGAATCCGTTCCCCGATGCCCATGTTCAAGAACTTGCTCTACTCAATCCTATATGTAATCTAGAATTCCCACTTTCGAGTTCAACTCTAGATTCGTAGATAGTATTCAATTGGTGATCAAGCAATCAAATAATTAAGTGCAGGATTGAATGAATAAACCAATATAATAAACTAAGAAATCAAAATCAATATCCGAATAACAATAGTCATAAAAGAACCACAACCCTAGAACGTGAAGTTTAGCTCCACATAGACATGGTAGCCAAACAACAAATCATACAAAGAAACATAAAAATTACTAAGTTTGGTGGAAGAAAAGATGAAACCCGATGAATTCCGGCCTCCACGGCGGCTCTGTATCAAAAGTATGTCCAACTCCCTCAAAATACCGCTTTTTCATGTATATATACCAAGTAGGGTTGGTCCCTAACAATTATAACTTCTCCAATGTGAAAAAGGATACTTTTCCCAGGTTTGACTAGAGCGGCCGCGCTAGTGACGGCGCTAGTGGCCCAGTGTTCTGCCTGACAAGCGCGGCCTGAGCGCGACCGCGCTATTGACACGCATTTTTCACCCTGTTCCGTTGAGAAATTGGAAAAACGTAAAACATGAAAGTTTTAGCTCTTTGAATTAGCTTTCCAACCATATATTGCGCAGCCCAAATAGAGTTCTGAAAAAAATGTTATGTGTATTTTACTAGACAGTGCACAATATGCCTACTCGAGTCTTCGTTTGTTCTTAACTATCAAAGTCGACCCCTGACACGATCCCGGCTTAATTCCTTGGGCTTTTAATCAGACTTCAAAGCTCCAAATCACTTTAGTTCATTCCATAACATCTATATAGCTCGAAATCACTCCTACAAGGCATAAAATACACCGTTAGTGCAAAACACTAGCGATTAAAGCGCAAACTCAACTAAAGTGCAGTAAATTAGAGTATAATAATCGACTAAAATATGTAATTGTAGCCTATCATCAACACCCCACACTTAAACGTTGCTCGTCCTCGAGTCAACCAAAAATTTACTCTATCTATGAGCACTTAACATATTCGAAGCACACTACACCAATGATTATTGTTGATGGCAACAATTAAACTCTAGCATATGCAATCATCATACACTTCCCTTTACTTATGTCATTCTTCAAAAATATTCAAACAAAGACAATATGCTCACAAAAATCCTAGCCTAAAAAACCGACTCAATGTCACAATGCACTCATGGCTTGAACACCCAACATCCTAGAGAAGTCTAATAATGTTATCTATCCTTCGTGAAACCATGTGCCCTCACAACCAAAGCAAAGAAAGTAAAATCAATCCACACATTCGAATCTCATGCTCACATATATCAAAGAAAATCGCTCACCCTCACAAAAGAAGTCACATGCATGTAATTGGTACCATAGGCTTGCTCTTAATGTAAATCTCTACTAACGTAGGCTCGCACGATCAAAAATCAATTAGGTCTTTTTCATGGTTATAATGTGGGCTAAGAGACGGGTAGGATTTATATAGGAATAATGGTTCCCCCTCCTAAGCACTTTAACACATCACCAAATAATTTAAGCGCAAATTCTTCAAAACCACTTCAATTTCACAAATAATATCACCCCCAAAAACGTTTCCTTCTTCTTTAAGCACTACTTTAGTTCATACCCACTAGCAAGAACAAGACAACAATTTATTCATCTATATTTTTCCTTCTCTTTTGCTTACAGATTTTTCTTCTTTTATTTTTCTTTTTCAATTTTCCCTAGTGGTGTATTATTTTACAAAAATAAGTGCACCCTTCTTTCTTTCATTGGTTCCACTCAAAAGCCACCCTACGCTAGTCCCTTCTTAATTCTTTTAGCGTTCATTTCACTATTAAAGTGCTTTAAGAAGTAAAAGGATAAAAAATATCAAATAAGAACAAAAAGGATATAGGCTTGTAATGCGGGTGCCAAATAAAAGTCTATAGGCTCAAAAGTTTTAACTAGGGATATATTTTATTTGTGGTAAGCAATTAAGCTCAAAAAGAACAAAGAAAACCTAAAATCATTTTTCAAACCGAGCATCACCTAAAAATTCGCTTCGACTCACAAACCGGGCAAGTTCTAGACACAAGTACAATACATGGACTACATAAAAACCTCACCACACATGGCACATGACTCACTAAGGACGATCCCATTCTGACTCTCAAACAAATGCAAGTATTCGCGGAGTCACGAGATATTAAGCATTAAGCACAAAGTGAACATAAGTCAAGAAAACGAGACATAGGCGCCACAAAACATGCTATCCAAGTAAGCAAGGCATCATCAATAATTTCAAATCATAGGGAAGATACTACACATGCCAAAGCCTAAATATGTTATTATCAAACAAGTCAAGGTGCCTAGGAATCTCATCTTTCTTCCTCCATTTATTCCCTAAATTCCTAATCTACTCTCAAAAATATAAAAAATATATAAAAGGAAAAACTACTACCCGGTTCAAACTACATCCCATGGAAAAGAACCGAGGCACAAAGAAAAACCATGGGGGATTATTACTACCTAAAGAAAGCTAAAAGACATATTTTTATGTTTTTTGTTTAGATTTTAATCCCTTAAGAAAACTGTCTAGGAGATCCATCGTCGGGAAAAGTCCAAATTTTTCAATTCTCATAGCTACTAAAATACTACTCAACTACAAAAATAAAAATAAGAAGTTAACATTTTTCTAACATCCTACTACTAATTATATAGAGAAATTTTTTCACCCCACACTTAAAAGAGTGCAGTGTCCCCAATGCACAAACAAAGCAAAATAATAATAGGGGTGGTCAAGAAACTCCCTGAAAGGCCAAAGGCTGAAGCAATAGTGGCTCACGAGGTACTCAGACTTCCCCCAAGCATGGTCTTTTGTGTGGGCACCCCACACTTAGTTCTCACCATCTAACTTGCTTTTGCACTCTTCCAACGGCTTTGCTTCCTATGTTTATATTCCTACAAAATAAAAACAACACTACAAAGATAATAGAAAAATAACAAAAAAAAATATCTCATTTATAAAATATCTCATTTATTCTACGCGGACGATCTTACCTTAATGTGTAATGTGGATAACAGATCCCCAAACACCATCCTTAGTTGCCTACACTCCTTCTGCACCCTATCAGGTCAAAAGATTAACTTAGATAAATCCAAGCTCATTGTTTCGAAAAATTGTCCAATTTTCACCAAAAAGGAGCTGTCCAACCTATTCAACGTAAAACTCAGCAATTTTTTTGGTAAATACCTTGGCTTTCCAATAACAAACACAAAACCTAGACCATCTGACTATCAATTCATTATCGACAGAATGACGGCCAAACTGGCTTCATGGAAATCAAAATTCCTTAATATGGCAGGCCGGACCACTTTAGCAAATGCTTCCCTCAATAGCATCCCAAATCATGTCATGCTCTATAATTACTTACCTAGCCAGATCCTTAAAAGTATTGACAAAC